ATATCTACCGAATTCGCTTCACTGTACTTTATCACTTTGGACCTGCTAATCCTGAAACCCCAAGAGCTCAGCTGTCCCATGCATCACCACGCATGACACTAAATCATCCATTTGGGAGGAGGTCGGCTTCCCACCACCTGTCCTATTCCAATGCTTTACAACTGAGCTACTGGCTTTACTTCAGACCAACACCATAAAATATAACCTGCGAATCTGAAGCAGAGGAGCAGAGGAGTGTAGACAATAAGGACGAGGATGAGATACAGAAGATGAAAGAGGTGAAACAAGAGCCAGCGCAGAACCACAAAAAGGCAATGTAGATTTGGTAAACAAGAAGACATAAAGCAAAATGAAGATACAGACATGGGATTTTTTTTTGTTGCCTTAACTTGGCAACGTGGTTTGTTTCTCTAAATAAAGTCACTTAACAGAGCACGAGGACACCAAAACAAACAGTCACACAAACAGTGGTCTACCTAAATTCTCGAACTAGGACACAGAAGAGACCATGTGACAAGCACTCTCCATTTAGACAAATCATTTTGCTTCTGCGCACGTAGCCACACACATAGACACTGTGTTGTTTTGAAGCTCAGCTCAGAAGGTTTTTAGACTGGATTATCCTCAGGGGGCATAGGCTCAGTGATGGTTAAAACCTCCATATTGATCTGTCAGTGGAGCACCCACCACAGTTTCTTCCCTTGAGAGCAGAAAAAAAGCATTTCCTCCTTTCTGACTTTTTTTTTTTTTACTGCAGTCAGTTTACCACAAAACAAGAGCATTGCAGGGAGTATGATTTCAGTCCGTGTATACTGATGGTGGATTAGATATAGGAAAATATGAGCAAAATACAACCACATTTCCAAACAAACAGGAGAGCTTGTTAAAGCTCAAGGTGCCACACTGCTGCCCGTAGCCAAGCTATGGTCATTTTCTCCCTACTGGGAAGCCAGAAATGACGAATGGGTGTTTCAAAGTTACATAAATTACATTTTGCTGGGATCTGTTGGCTTAGAACACTAAATCATCCACCCACGATGTAGACAGATATTCAGACCTATTGTTTTGACACACGATATTCAATGTTTAGCCCAACTAACTCTTACTGAAATTGTACTCCTGTTGCAAAGGGTGGAGGGCCGCAGTGGAAACTCCACACCACCAATTGCTTTTTTTTATGTGGAAAATCACATTCAAGGAGAGCTAAAGAACCTCTGAAGGCCAGAAAAACAGATGAACACAGTGTTGTGTTTGTGATGAATACTGAAACCAATTCACAGCAATCTAAATCCAGGATAGAAACATGCTTCATTATGACATGCATAAAAGAAAATTTCATGTTCTGCTGTATAGTTAATGACTGTGTTTCTCAAAATAAGGATCGTCTGCAACCATGTGACAGTTTCATAATGATTACATCTTACATCTTTAAAAGGAAAGAAAATTAAAAGGAGCAAAAAGGAAGACTAGTTAGGGAATACAGTTGGTATTTATTAGTGTTTGGTTACAATTAAAGCCATGACAGCGCATGTCTGTGGACCACTTGTCTACAGAGGTCATTTTTGTGTTTGTGTTTTTATGCATTTTTTTGTCTTAATGTCATCTCTCTCTGCAGTTGATGGGATCCTTTGTTCTGGCAGTGGGACTGTGGCTGCGTTTTGACCCAGAAACTGTGTCCCTGCTCAATGGTGATAAGGCTCCAGACACTTTCTTCATTGGTGAGTGCAATAGCTCCATACCTCAGCTGATCTCCACAGCCGATAGATAACAATATGCTGCAAAACATTCTACACAAGGCCATTGTTTCAATACACGTGTTGAACAATTCACCTCAGGTTTCATAAAAAAATGTGTGTCTTTTTTATAGTTGTTGAGAAACCTAAGCTGAGAAAACTAAATGGGTCATGGAAAGTTAAGTTGTTTCACTCTGAAGTATCAGCAAAAAAAATGAGTTGTCCTTATTTTTTGTAGTAATGTATCACTTTACATCACAAGTCAGAGGATGAAGTTTGCTAATTGTGATATATATATATATATATTCCATAGCAGTCCATACAAACTGGAATGTATAATGATAACATAATGTACTTTTCAAATATGCTACACAATTTTCCTCTCATCTTTGTCATTCTCAGTCAGGAGAGGGGCTTTAAAATAGTGTATTGACATTTTTCATTGCATCTCCCTTTGCCTTGTGAATAAGAAATGCCTGTCTCTGTGTCAGAGGCGATATTCCTACCACAGGTTTCCCTCTATGCACAGGCACACACAAATACACTTTCCAAAAGCACATACAAAAGCCCACACACGCACAAAAATCGGGTGTAAGGAGAAACTATTCAGTGCTTCGGTGCGAGTCAGTCTTTTTGTGTGTGAGTGTCATAGCTCGGTGGGTGTCTCAATACCAAGACGCCGACACGTTTAACTGTCCGACTTGAAGAATACTCTGCTGCTTTTGTTTATTAGGCATGTGCGTGCTTCTTTCACACAGGATATGAGCGTGAATAACAGGAAATTACTGCTGTACATGGAGCGTAAATGCACGATAGAAACCACAGTGCTCTTAACCACCTTTCAGTCAGTCACCCTGCCAGATGGAAAGAGCGTGTGTAAAATGGCGTGTGGAAGAGGACCATCATAGAAGCAGATTGGGCTACATGGCAAAGATATGAAGGAAAAACAAGATGGAAAGGCAAATGACATGAGGAGGAGAGAGTGGTGTCCCCAGTCCCATCATGATTAACCTTCTCCCACTCTCTGCAATCAGTGTGATACTTATGAAAATGTCTGTTATTTTAACAGCCTCCAGGCTAAAATATTCTCTGCCTGATGGGTACTTTATTTGCTTCTCTGAGGCCAGTTTAGGACATATAAGGTTGTGCAATGGTAGACAAGTGTTGCAGATTTTCTTACAAAATAATACTGGTAAGGTATTTCATCACTTCGTCCTGTATATGTGTGTGGACAAAGACTCAGATGTCCATGTGGTTTGACTGGGGATGGGTGGCCTCTGTCAAGTTCTCCGAGAGTGAAGTGCTACACATGGCTTTGACAGTGAGAGCGCTGTCACCACGGACAAAGCTGAGAGCACTCAGCAGTTGCTATGTCTCATTCCCATGGCGTCAAGCCCGCTCAAAACTTGCTTTCTTGCTTTTTTTTGTTGTACTTCGAACTTATGAGAAAATGAGAACATGACTGTTTGATTTTTTTAAATTATTATTGTGACATGCGGCATTTGACACCTTAAGCTGGAAACTAAACTCTCCTTCCTAACGACAATAGAAATGACACACCCAACTCAATTATTGTATGACATCAAGTCTTTTTGTTGACCGCCGGGATCCTATGACCTGGCTTCCCACCTGAGCCCATATCACCTGGGGGCTGATGCGTCCTCTCTCAACCCCGTCCTGTCACCTGGCAACAGACCCCACCTGTACGACCACACTGCATGCTGGTGGAACCAATCTGTTGTTGAAATCCTCCCTGCAGAATGTTTCCTAATGAGTGGATCCCACTTAGAGCTCCTCCTAAATCAGGCTCCTGCCAACAAGGTTATTTACAAGGCATCTCATGTGAGGACGTTATTAAAAGGCACAATAAACGTGGGTCCACTCCTAAAGAAGGGTCTGACAAAGCACAGATCACTTTGCTGCCATTTGCTCAGCTGACCACAGAAATAGTACAGTCTGAAATGTTAATGCCCTATATATAGCTCTATGCTGTCCTCTGCTGGTGACTCTACAAATTAAAATGGCCAGATGAGCTGGACAAATCTGAGCATGTTACAGTTTTTCTCTCTAAACTCTACACACAAATCCCTTCATTTCTCATTGCCTACACCATGTGGTCATTGAGAAAGCAGACATTCAATATTGTTCACTAAATCAGCACATGTTGAGCTCAGTTAGCACAAAGCTACCCAGGTGGAAACACAGTCAAAATTGATAACACACCAATCAGAAGCTTCAATAGATAGATAAAAGGGCCAGAGTCAGTTTATTCAGGTTTGGAACAATGGATCCAGAGAAATCTGAATGGAAGACAGAGGACACCAGAGTGGAGGAAGAGGAGGAAGAAGAGGAGAAGGAGGAAGAGCAGTAAGAGGTGAAGGAAGAGGTACAGTTGGAGGAGCAGATGGGATAGGAGGAAGATGAGGAGGCAGAGCAGGAGTAGGGCAGAGGAGGAGGTGAAGATGGAGTAGGCAGGAAGAGTAGGGAGGGTGAGGAGGTGGAGAACAAGAATCTCTGGCCTGTCCCAGACCAAAGACATGCTGGAGCAGAATAATTTGTTGTCTGGTGTGTTGTAGTGTACAGCACACTAAGGAATTTTTTAAAAAAGTGCGCAAAATTTCTTTTGTGATCATGTAAAAAAGGATTTTGAGGGGGAGAACTAGCAACATTACTTAACCATTTTTTGTTGTGTTGAATTTATCCAACCATTGTCTAAGACTGACTTGTAGTGTGTGTTTGAGAGCTTGTGTGTCAAGTCTGAGGGCAAAGTTTGTTTTTTCAGCAAAATTGAATGATTGAGTAGAGAGCTTCATTTTGACCTGAAAATAGGATGTTTGGGGAATTGGGTGAGAAGTTGTGGATTTGTCTAGTTTTGAGAAAGAGGCATAATTTCAAGAAATGTTAAGAAAAACAGACCTTTTTATGCTGATACATTAGATGCCTTATTCTTGGAACTCTACAAAAAAAAAAAAAAAAAAAAAAAAAGCAAAACCCCTCAGTTCTCCTGCAAAAATGAAACTTTACATTCAAAATGGTATTTCCCCCCCCCCCCCAAAGACACACTATCATGAATAGACATTCATAAGAACCAGTTGAACACTGATGTGCTCAATGTAAAACACTGATGAATGGAAAACACCTCTTCTCCATTCATCATAATGACTTAAGCCTTTTTTTGTTCAGGGTTACACTTACTACAGACCGTACATACATAAGTGTGTTGTAAACTATTTGAGAATATTTTTTTTTTAATACAGAACACAAATACACAGTAAAATATATTTTATTTGTCCCACAAAAACAATGTATACGGTGTACATCCCATTCCCAACCAACATAAAGTTGCACAAAAGAATTTACTGTACACAGTTTAAAAAAAAAAAAAAAACCCCACCCACACAAACTATGCCGCAACTTCGCTTCGGTTGCAGTCTGGCCACAGCACCTCATCCACATCACAAGCAGTGTTTTCCCTTGCCAAGCAGCGGGGGGGAAAAAAAATAAATAAATATCGCCTAGCATGGCGATTCCAGCCATGAAGAGCATCAGCTGCTATATCTCCACATGCATCCTCCATAGCTTGGAGAAGAGGTATATGAGTTTGTGGATTTCAGTCATGAACTTTCCATCTCCAGGCAGAAAAAAAAAAAATTCCTCAAGAGGATTGAGGAATGGAGAATATGGAGGGAGATAAACACCTAAAAAGCATGGGTGGGCAGTGAACCAGAGCAGCCCTGTGTAAACCTACGTTGTCCCAAATGACAACGTACCTGAGCTGCTCTGGGCCGTCTACCTGATCTGGTGGAATGAGATCAGATGGGCGGTGTTGAAGGGGCCAAGGGTAGCATGGTGATTGCTGACGCCGTGGTGGGTAGTCGCTGCACACATTGTGATGTTCCCTCCGCGCTGGCCAGGGACTTCAATGGCACGCTGGCCGATGACATTCCTTCCCCTCTTATGTCTTTGTGAGGTTGAACCCAACCTCATCAAAGAAGATGAACTGGTGCTCCACTGCAGCCACCTCTAGCTCAAGGACACTCTGAAACATACATGACAATATCAGAAATAGACATGGAGTGGTCACTATTGTGAAGCACAATCATTACAATATTGAAACATGTATAATTTACTGTATACAGTGTTGTGTATGCATCAGTTGTGGGACTCACTTGCACATAGTTATATCGCAATTCTTTGACTCTCTGAAGTGCGTTCAAATGGCACCCTGTAGACCTGCTTCATCCTGAGATGATTTCTGCACATGACATGGTCCAGTGTTGATAAGCTTACCCTATCAATATTTTGAAATCTCTCATTGTTTGATTATTTTTCTTTGTATTTGCTGTAATGTTGTGGCGTTGTTTTCTAGGACCATGTTTGATTTCAGTTTCCTGTTCAGGAGACTGAAGATGTTCCCAACCACCTTGTGTTGGTATTCTTTCAGTTCTGCCAAACAAATAGTAAAATACTGTAAATACAAAGTAGGTATACATTTCCTAAATACTTGAAACATACTTAATAATACAGTATTTTTACAGTCCTACAGAGCAGTCCACAGGCAATATTGTACTACTGTACTCATTGAGTACTGTATTGATATGCAGTACTGCAATTTGCTAGTGAGAGTAGATTTCTTACCTATTCTCATTTCGGAAAGTCCAGATGATGGATGCTACAGTGTACCTGCTCAGATTTGGCTGTACTCTTTGCCCAGCCTCCCTCATTGTTAGACCATGGTTGACCACATGATCAACCAAAGTGGCTCAGATCTCATCAGAGATTAACGTCCTCTTACACGTCCTCTTACACGTCCTCTTACACGTCCTCTTACACGTCCTCTTACACGTCCTCTTACACGTCCTCTTACACGTCCTCTTACACGTCCTCTTCTGCCTCTGTTTCCAATGTTAGCATCCATTGCTCTATTGAAGAGCTCACCTGTTGCCCTTTTATGCTAAAGCTCTGATTGCTAATTGGAAAACTGTGTGACAGCTGTTGTGCCCTTGTGATGAGTCAGTGTGCATATTTGAATGGCAGTGTGTTCCTTGTGAAAACAAGATATTTTCTGCATGAAACTTGTGCCAAAAGCAGAGAATTGTGTGTAGTGTTTTGAAAAAAGTGTGTTTTAGAACTGCAATTTGAGTGTAAAGCAGGAATTGTGCTTGTAGTTTAGCAGAATTGGTTCAGGGGGTTGGTGAATGAGTTACATGTTGTGGTCATTGTGTCTCAAGTACCAGAATTTGTGTGTAAACAATTGAGAAAAACTGTAATTATTTTGCTAAATAGAATATATCACATTTAAAGGTATTCTGATGGTTGCCTCATGATTAAAGGTCTTATTTACCTTTTTTAGTACCACTACACCACTTCTTGTAAGTGATAACTTTCTTTTTCCCTGTCCCTCCAGGCGTGTATATCCTGATAGGTGCTGGCAGTCTGGTGATGTTGGTTGGTTTCTTTGGCTGCTGTGGAGCTGTTCGGGAATCTCAATGCCTGCTGGGTTCAGTGAGTACACGTGCATCCAAACACAGGAGCAAATAATGGAATTGAAATGCTTTTGTCTTGGAATTTTCAATTAAATAAAAAATACCTATATTATCACAGATAATTCACTCATTGTCATTTGTGGATTTTTTTCAGTTTTTTGCCTGTCTGTTGATCATCTTTGGTGCTGAGGTGGCCGCAGGGGTCTTTGGATTCTTAAACAAAGACAAGGTGAATTTGCTATTTTACAGAGTAGTGCAATGAGTGTGATAAATCCCAGCGGCACCACATCATTCACTTGGCCTTGCTCACACAGATTATCGAAGATGTTCAGAACTTCTACGCAACGACCTACAATGAAAACAATAACGGCACATTGATCATCTCCTACCAGAAAGTAGTAAGTAGAAAAGTCTTTAGGGTAACACTATGTTCTTAATACATACCGTATTTAAATGCCATTTGCTTATGGATATGCTCCCATCATATGATGTTTTTATTCACATATTCAGCTGAACTGTTGTGGAACCATAGCAAACCCCTGCCCTGATCTCAAACCAGACACTACGGTAAGATCTGTCAGATGGAAATGTAATTCTGGTTGGTACACTACGACTTGACACTGCTTCACTCCGCTTATCTCTGGTATGCAGGACTGTGAGACAGGCATCAAGAACTTCTTCAACAGTAAACTCTACATCATTGGGTACGTGGGCATCGGCATTGCCGGAGTCATGGTGAGTGATGATTGGAGTCGAAAACACACACAAATATGCACTTTTCTGTGAGTGACTTTTTAGTAAAAGTCTGTTTTTTCTTCTCAACAGATCATTGGGATGATCTTCAGTATGGTGCTCTGTTGTGCCATTCGCAACAGCAGGGAGGTCATTTAACCTGGATCCTTGACCTCTACCCCTCACATCCCCTGTACCCTGCCCCGAAAGACTGCACAGCTTTCAGTCAAATGTCAACCATCATCCATCCAGTGAACCAGGAAGAGACCATGTTAGAAAAGTTCCTTCCCACTATGGTGCTCAACCCAGCTCTCCTGGCCTGATCTTCCACTATTTTCTCTGCATTTGTCTTAATTTATTTGCAGCATACCCTACATTTCATAACATACTGATAAGACTTGGACCATTCACATTTCCTGTGGGAACAGTAACATTTCTGATGTTGAAACAACAATATGTCAAATAGTTTTTTCCTCATGGCCATTTGGCTACCACTAAAAATTTTAACCCACATACTGTCACAGAAGTGTCAATGCTTTTTCACACAGCCTTGACACTGACCCCTTGGCTCTGGGAAACTTTAGCCTGCGAGAGAGCAATCTGGGGTGAAAGCAGCTGAGTTCGCTTATCTGTGCAGTGTGCACACAAATGAACACACACACACCCACACACACACACGCACAAACGCGCACAGACAGACAAGCTCAGCAATGTTGTGTTATACGAGACCATAGCCTTAAAAAAAAGGTTGTCTGGAATCTCATAGGGAATCCTGATTGGTGGAATCAGAGTGGGCTGTCAAGAGAGGGAACGGCCAGTGAATGTTTTGAGAATACAGCCATCATGCAGCCCCAGCGCTCTTACTCACACACATACAGAAAACACATAAGCTATGAACTGTACAATCAACACAAACCACTCTCTACAAGAACAATCTGCAGTTATTTTAAAGGAACAGTGTAACATTTTCGGGAATACGCCTTTTCACTTTCTTGTCTGTGCAGTAAATATGCACGTAAAGCTAACAACAGGTGAGTTTAGTTTAGCTTAGCATAAAGACTGGAAATAGCTATTCTGCATTTGTTCCCAGGAGACACCTGGTAGTTGGTAGATGGATTTTGTAACCTTATGACCTTTTTCTGCAGATTTTGTTACCTTTGGACAGAGCCAGCCTAGCTGTTTCACTTGTTTCCAGTCCTCATGCTAAGCCAACCGGCTGCCCTCTTACGTAAGAGAAATCCCTCTATGAGTCTCGACTGTATGTCAAGACGATCATGAGGACATGTTTACAGGCTAAACATACACTAGACAGTCGACTGAGAATAGGCACCGGGGCTGTGAGAATCAGTTATCCAAGCAAGGCCTTTGATCTCTTCCCACTTCCACCTTTTAACCCCTCTGTGCCTTAAAAGTGCATCATCCACAACAAAAGAAAAACTGGGAAACGACCCCTCGATTCCCCTCACCTCATCAACCCCATCAGATAAGAGGGTTGGGAAGACATAAATGGAAGATTAATCACTTCCACTTAGGAAGGTATATTCAGGCCACTGTTCATTCTTTAGGGTTTATTCCAAGTGTCAGGACTCTGGTATGTAAATATGTGTGAGTTTTCTTGTAGTTGTCCATTATTTTTGGCTGATGTGTTACTATTTAACATGCCGTGTGTAGACAAAGGCTTGCAGTAGTTGTACAGTGTTGTAGTCGTGACGGTGTTTGCAATAGTCAAAGCAAATCCAAACTAAAACAGCTTCTTAACGTGCCTTTCTTTCATACCAAGCTATTTTTGAACAACACGTAGCAAAAGAACGTAGTGTGTGTACATAAAGTTTTGTAGAGTTGGACTGCAATTAATTGTCACACATTCAACCAGTAGCGCATATGGCTAGACCTGCCATTATTTTTTAGGTGATTTTTGAAAGTGTTGCACTCAACTGTCATCTCTGCCAAGAAAGCGAAATGATGAAAGCAACAACTGTTTGTCATCCAACAATTTCAAAAGCCTCTTGGTACTAAAAAAATCTGTTCTGAGGACCTAACCCAATGATCTTTATGGTGTTTATGTTCAAATGATCAAGCTACGTGGAAGACTTTTCACATTTCAGTGTAATGAGACAAGTGAGGAGACAACAAATGCTTACTTACCACTTCATGTTGTTGGGACTGTCACTTAAGAGGAGATCAACTGGGAACAGTTTCATGCAGCTCCATCCACAAAGCTGTAGTGTTCCTCTGTTGTTTGAGCAAATCTGAAGATGTAATGTACTGTGCACATAAAAAGACACTGTGTACACAGTAGAGCCTTTCGTAGTTGATTGTGTGTTAATTTATTTTAATACCATTCCAGGCTTCTCAGGAAGATAGGTGTTTGAAGTTTAATAAAGCTGTTTTACAGTTTCCTGTGTCATATTTCAGCACAGAGGTGTACATGTTCTGAAGTCTATAGTCATTTCCTGTTGAATTGAACTAATGCAAGAAGAACATTTTAGTAATTAATAAAATGATGTGACAAAATGTACTCTTCCAGTGGCCTTTACCAAGTAGCGTGTTTATTAGGTTATCTGAATGACTTTGCTTATTAGTTTATTTTCCAGATTTGAGGGAGTTATGGATTTCACTCATGAAACATGTCCAGAAAAAAAGGTTCAAAAGATGTGGTGCTTGGCAAAAACAAACAGAATCATGTATTTGTCAAAAGCTTTTGACTGTTTTTTTAATAAGAGTAGTTTTGCATATACGTTTATTATTCAGACAAGCAGCTTTCCTATATTTAATAGCATGTTAAATCTATTATCTTTTAATCATGATATCAGCATCAGACTCCATAACACACACAGCCGTAGTCACATCCTCCAATTGCTGCCTGGTTTCAGGCCCTGAAAATACACCAGTAAGTCCCCACACTTCCAGTCCTTTCTAGCACTGCAATACAACCTCCACTCCTTGCCAAATGTAATTTATACAGGGTGATACTTTCATCAGATTTTGCGTGCGTTATAACAGAACGTGCAGTGTCGACACTAGGGAAAAAGGCATACTAGGAAGAAATCTTTCCTTTTTAAAAGTAGGGAAAAAGCACTTAAATTATTTGTAACAAACTTTTAAATGTCTCTCTCCAGCCCCCATCAGTTAAATATGCAGATTTAGATTCCAAATGTAGCAGTGTATATTGTAGTTGTAGGTATAAATTTATGAGCTGCAGCATCCCAAGGAAAACCAACACTAATTTTTTGTAACCCATAATATACAGTGAGGAGTAGCGTTCTAGAGGTGAAGGAATGAGTTATATTTAAGCAAAGCATGTCTTTAAGGCAGCTTGTGGAAAAATCAAAAAGAATCCATGTAGTCATTTAAGAGAAATGTTTTAGAAACACATTTAAACCATTTATTACATCATGAAGTGATTTCTTCTCAGCTGATTACATTTGATATCCCCTGCGATTAAGTAGGTTTCCAGGTTTAGTTGCATGAGTTCCACGTCAGTTTCATCTTTCTGCACTTGAGCGTACAGAACAGCTGAATATTTAGTTGAGGGGATAGTTATGTGTGCAACGCGGCAAAGGCTCAAGGACTCCCCTGGGTAGAGTTACCCCAACACTGCAGCGTGATCATTTTAACTGCCACAAACTTATCCATGCCAGTGACTTCTGCTATTTCCAACAACCCTACCAAAGAATATATGACTGAGTTCCACCTTTGTGACTATATACTATAATATGAAATAATTCAAGCTACACATACTCCACAAATAACACAAGTAAACTGCATTTAAACATATTTATTCAGCATTTGGAAATCCGTATTTATATTCATTAATAATTCTAAAATGAATTTTCAATAATTTTCTCAACTGGTTGAAATGCTTGAGTTTAACTTGCCATTTGAGAACATTTTTAAAAATACATGATAAATATTTACATTGTTAAAATTGTTACAGTAGTTTGACCCATGAAATTAGTGCACAACCCTACATCGCACTCTGCTCTGCTAAATCCCCAACATGATACATTCAAGTGGGCGCCTGTATCTCTGACAAGATACCTGACCAGTCATAGACAACCATAGTCAACTTAGAGAAAGTGGCTATATGTAAACCGTGTTGCACTTTTTTTTAGTAGACATGGTCCCAAAAGCACAGCAAATGCCATAAATAAATCTTGTCCATCATCAGTCTAGTTTACCACCGTCAAACAACATGTCCATCACCACATTAGCAGTTCAACAAAGTCAACTGCAGAAGGCATTATTGAGCCGTTTAGCTCTGGAGTTCAAACTTGTACGTTACATAAAACAGAGTTGTGTAAGCTGCCACAGAAAGATGTACAGTCAACCACAATTGTTCTGAAAAATAAACCCCAGAAAGCACCTATGGACAGCTACCGTCTTGTTACCAACTATTAAGCAGCGTAGACAAGGGCCCAACCAATTCAGAAGCACCAGAAATCACTCCTTGTAACAGAAAGTAATGCAACACAGAATCCCTGTATGGCATCCCAGTGGACATGCAGTCCAAATGTTTCAGTCATTCATAAGCCATGACCCACTTCTGTTTTCCAGATATTTTCCCCAACCAGGTTGTTTAGAAGAACATGTGACAATCAGTTTGTGAGAGAACTTATTTACCAAATGACATCCGCTTCAAAAACAAATACACTAGAAAGAGAGCAACATCGATGGCCAAGGTTCATTTAACCCTTTCAACAGGATTGAAGCTATTCAAGTAAAATTTCAAGTCTGCCTTTCTCATTATTTAGTAGATGCTCCCTGACACAGTAAGGGTTTTCAACAACATGTAATAGCCATCACCTAGTGCTTGCCAAGATGGGGCATTTGGAGGGGACATATACAGATTACAGTGAAGGGTAATTGATACAGCGTGCTTTTAGGGATGGGGGCTGAATCTAAGGAAACAGGGAGAAAAGGTTTGGTGCCACTGGCACAGTCAAGTCAGATCTAGGTGAAATGGCGATCATTGTTGGACTATCAACTCCTTAAGAGATAGTCATGCTAAAGGCATATTTTGAAACCACTTTTTGTTAAAAATAAAATGGAATCTCTCTGGTCCCTTTAGCTCTGAAAGCCTCCAACAATAAAGAAGGTACACAGTGCTGGGTCCATGGCTATGCCCAGGGCATAGCGGCCTGTAATTTAATGAGGCGGCACAAAGACTAGGAAACATCTTGTTTATACAGAGTAGATGTTGTAGGGGGTGTACCCCAGCAGGAACTCTCCAACTCCTACAAAGTACACAACCTGGGCAATGCCAAAGAGTGGTGCAATAACCAGGGCCCTGCAACTGGCCCCCTTGAGGAAAGCTCCGGGGCCCTCCTTTCTCAGGATCTTTCTGCCATTGGAAGAGAGAGTGCAGGGTTAACATGTGACATGGGCCAGTCATGCTACCCTTGGAGAGTGAAAGGCATAATGTTTGATGTTTGTATGACTACTTTACCTGACACAGTCCACCACTCCGTTGTAGGTTTCTTCATTTGCTCCTTTTTTGAGGGATTGTAGCCTTGTCTTGACCACTGCACAAGTGACACAAAACTTATTTCAGTTAAGAATTGATTAAATCTATGAGACAACTTTAGTTTTCAGTTGAAAATAAAACTGATAATCAGTTCCCAGTCCCCCAGACATTGACCAGTCACTCACCGTCACAAGGGCTGACAGTCACAGCAGCAATGGATCCAGCCAAGCAGCCAGACATGAAGGACCAATAGAAGGGCACAGATGGGTCTTCAGGTGAACGCTGGCCGAGCTGGTGCAGATGTGCAAAAAGAGGGAAGTACACAACGGAGAACGGGATGTCCCTGAAAAGGCAACAAATAAGGAGATTAAGTTCAGCACATTAGCAGGCCGATGACCAAAGATGGACAACCAGGTAAACAAGAGCAAGTATTTAATGCCATCTCACCTCATCAATGTGGCTCCAAGTCCCCTGTACAATCCTGGGACTCCTTTGGTCCTCAGCAGTTCTCTGGTGATCTGTGTGGCGGACACTCGCATGACTTGAGACGCAGGGCTGGTGTTGTATGAACGGCTAAGAACAGCACTGGTCCCCCCCATCTTCAGAGTTGTTGCTACACAAGGCATCACCCTCTGCTGGGCCACTGGCAGATATAGGAAAAAGCGTTTTTTGCCAGGGCATAAAAAGTGACATCCCAAAGCATTATTTGATGCATGTAATCTATTCATCTGATTTCCTTGTAATTACCTAGCCTGCCAGCATCCTGCAGCTGGATCTTGAGCATCTCCATGGGTGTGGTGACAATGACCTGGCACATTCCTGCACAGCATCCTGCCAACATCTCCTTGACCACTGTCAACCTGCCACTGAAGACACATACTGGGTTAAAAACCAAGGATGACATTGCAGTGAAGGAGTCCTGTCTTGCTGAGTGCCACTACTCACCCATCTTTGCTCAACTGGTGGCGGAAGAAGTCATTAGCAGCTAGTTTGATGGCTTTCTCTGGGGTTACCAGGGTGAGATTTACTGCAGCACCTGCAACAACAAGCATATAGCTCTTTATTCTAATGAACCAACTACTCTTCCTGAATCACACACACTGAGTAGATTGCTTGCACAGTAGAGAAATGAAATAAATAGGAAAAAGTAGAGAAACTAAAGACAGTAAGATGGCTATAAAAAAAATTAACTCCATTCACTGGATCACAGAGGTTGTCAATCAGATAAAGAAGCAATAGTTTACAATAGAGGCATAAATTGGACATAGCTTCAGTGCAGGCTGTGCAGTGAAAAAGCATGGACGAAGAAATTAACCTTGCTCAAGAGAGGCTTCCTTATTTCTTTGAAGAAATTGGTAGGTTTGGTTTAGGTCACATGAGAAACGTGTTGGTCACATAATAAATGTATATCAGATCTAAAATACCACTATATGATATATTTGATATTCTGTCCAAGGACAATATTCACCAGGTTAGTATGGACAGTGTGACTAGTCCTACCTCTGTACATGCCAAAGTAGCCTTCAGATTTAACTGTCTTTATTAGGCAATCCATCCTGAAGGGGGAAAAAAGGATTAGTTCAGCAAATTTATAGGAAACACCTGATGGTTACGCAATCATCATCAAGTGAGTATAATATAATACAACCAGGGCTTGGAAAGGAAAACTGTTCATGGCCTTCATACAAGGAAGGAAGAAGAGGAGCTCAAGCTTAATACTTAATAAAAATAAATCTACACGGTCAATGACCGCAGAAAGATACCTTACACTAAGGGTGTTACTCAAAGGTAATGATGGATAGACTGAAAGAATGTGCATGGTAAGAAAGGACTATTATATTGTGCATTTAATGAAGTTTAAAATGTCAGGCAGGTTTTTGACAATACATGTGAAGATCCTTTCAATGACAATGGAAGATTTTCTTTTGGCTGGTGTTGTTCTTACATGTTCTTGTAGAGTTGCTGCCCGCTGCGCTGGTTCTGCAGGCGGGTCTTGGCCAGGTCGATTGGAAACACACAGGTGACTCCTACTATGCCTGCAATCCCTCCATTGATCAGTTTGGCTGGAAGGCTGTGTAAGGATAAGTCAAAACAGACATGTGCATAGCAATCATTCTTTTCCTACAAGTGGAGTAAGGCAGGGCACTTTCGGACAAGGTGACAAAACCTGCTGTAATTTAACTGAAGCAATAGAAGGATTGGTCATTCATCAGGCATTAGCATTGCAACAGACCTTGGTATAATGTGACTCTGGGAATTAGGTCATCCAAAAATAGCATGTCAACAGAGTTAATCAAACATACACACATGTGCAGGAGGCATTATACATCCTAAGGCTTCTATAATTTGCCATGTTAACTCTAGGGAAACAACAGATGGCAAACTAGATTTGTTTACTCCATAAAGTTAGGAGGAATAGGCATGCTTTATTCGTATTTTCCTCTCTCAGCAGCCAATGGTTTCATGCTGGAGGGTTTGGATAGAGCAGGTTCATACCTAATCTGTTGTTGCTGGGCCATGGTTCTTGGTTGTCTGGAGTGCAAAAGTTGGTCAGCACAAAGGAGGCGGCCGTAGAGGGAGTGCAGGCGGAGAGTCCCTAAGAGACACTGAGCAAGGCAAGAGTAGAGAGAAACTCAGGGTTATATATATGCACACAGAGGCAAGTCCAGCCCTGCAGATCCAGGGATAAATTCAACATTACTCTCCACCCACTGCACTGGTAGCCAGGAAATTGAGCCAACTTCAGTCATCGCAATATCATAAATCACAAACCAAACCACAGTCCAAATAGCTTTCAAGGATACATCTGCCTACTGTGTGAGGGAATTACAGTTGCAAACAGGTCATGTGTCCAGGGGTCACAAAACTTTACACTCACTGAGTGACTAAAGTAATAAATAAAAACAACCTTGATATTATTTATCTTCCATTATTATATTTGTAACAGTGAGATGATTAACAAAATCAAACAAGTTAAGAGAATCAGAAAAGTTGGATGAAATATATAGGAGTGTGCAAAAGGTGCTGCAATACATTGCCTGATTAATGTCACTCACAGACATAGACAACTATATTTTGCACATTCAGTGACATTCATAATATGTCTGGACTAGAAATAATTAAGCTCTTCAAGAAGAATCTCAAATGCTCCAAAACTTGCGGCTTTTCTGTAAAACTTACTTTTTTTGCTTCTAAGTATTAAATGTGCCTGAATGGATGACACGTTAAGCTCGAAAGTGACCCAAGCCTCAGTTTGTTAAACACAGTGAGTCTGCAATCATGCGAACAGGTGTTTAGGGGTCAATTAGAAAAACACATTTGCAAATGTTGTAGGCCTACACCTGCCGTGCTGTTACTTTAATATGCTACTTTCAACAATGTAAAACAGTATTCTTTAAAAAAAAAACATGATTATTTTACATCTCATAAAAACAAAAAGAACCTGTCTACCTTTAAATGAAGATGGATCAATGTTCAGATTCCGACTCTTCCTCCCCACAGCAGCAGGACTCAATGAACGAATGGAAAGAGCATGCGGCAGTAACGGATGTTCCCGACCTGACTTCTTGGCCAATGAAAAGAGTTTTGTAAAGTAGGCTGGAACAACTAGTCTCAGGAACCGGTTAGTATGATGCAACGTTGCGTTGATGTTGGGAGGAGACTTGAACACATGTGTAGCTGATCAGGCCCCATAAATTCATTTCAGAGCTCTTAAATGCAGCATTGCTCTCTAATAACTAATTGACACAATAATATTATAGTTAATATATATAGTTATTATTCTCCCAAACTGAGAATATTCAGCTCAGAAACCTTTAAATGAGACTTTGCTTTATATAGAAATGTAGGCCTAGTTATCATGCACTCATTTATTTCCATTTTTTAATTTTCATTTAATTCATTTACACAGGCAATACAATTCACAGTGAAGCTACAGTGCATGCTCAACACAGTGTTGCAATATCTTGACTATCAAACTAGAGAAAACAACGTGACCGGCTGAGTGGCTGAGATGCACCACAATAACATCAACAAGCAGAAACACTGCTGCTCCATCTAGTCCAACAGCTGCAGCCCTGCCATGCGTGTGCATTTGCTTGTATCAGCTCATGTTCAGGTTTCCAGAGCGGGCTGGGTCGGGCTCCTCGCGCTGCCAAGGTCCATGGTGCATTGTTCATAAGAGAATCGGCTGGTGCGCACACAGTGGTGTGAGCGTGCGTCGCAGCGCTTGCAGCGGCAACGGCGGGCTGCCGGATAATACAACGGTGCGTTGACATCCTGAGGGCAGCCTGGCACGGCTCGGTACACCAGGGAGAGAGGCACACAGCTACGCTGGATGACGAAGGTCCTCCCAAACCGTCCCCACAAATTGGTGTCCTGGAAAAGAGGAATCGGGGCTGTTAGAGGCGGTGCACAGGTTGAACAGAACAATATGACGTTGTGTCAACTTTTTAAATGAAATGGGGTGCCTGTCAGAAGATGTTTTATAATTTGGTAACACTTCTTGAGGGACATCCTGGTGCCAATAAATCTAAACGAGAGAAATGTTTATTCGCCTCCATATCACTTTCACAATGTATCTAGATTCAACAAATGGGTGATTTTCATTTTGATCCACATACTGAACTTGAACAGTGTTTTAGAACATTTAAGATGCTGAAGCAAAATATATTGCTGAAGTATGTTTTCCACGACCTCCCTGTCTCATTGCACCCAAGAAACAGGGTGTTGCATCAAGTATCCTTATCGCATGACCACTTCAACATCACTTAATTGGCCTATACACTTTGCTCTAAATATTTCTCCTTTTTTTTGCATCATATTCAAAATTAAGTGTTGAAAAGTGTGAGTATGTGTGCGTCTCACCTGTGTGTAACAGTAGCCACTGCAGATAGTAGTATTGACAGCGACACACTGGGCACAGTCGTGCCTCTCAATCCATAAGGTATGATTCTTCAGCACACAGGCACACGCCGTTCCACCCATCAACGCGCACAGCAGCATATATTTCAACACTAACGAAGGCATGCTGAAAGTGCAGACACATAGGTGAATGCATAGACAGTTTGAGACAGTCACTCTGAAAAGACAACAGATGACAGACAAAAGACAATATCATTGCAACAATATCAGTTTGTTAAAGTGTATGCAAACCCAAATTAAAGAGAAAAAACACACCTTGACATATGTAGATTTTTTTTCACAATTTGATTGTAGTGGAAATTATTTCAGTTATCCTATAAATCTGTGTTCTTGCTTTCTTTGTGTCCACTCAGTCCCCCAACTCTCCCCTGTTGTTCTCCTCTGTGAATATCTGAAAAGACCAAGGAGATCATCCTCTTTTATGGAAACCCTAATCCACCCTGACCTGCCCCAGTAGACTACAGCATCATTCCAGAAATCACATGTCAGCAAGTTAAAAGTGGTCTCAAAACAAGAACATGTGGGTCTGTTTTGTGTGTGTGTGTGTGTGTGTGTGTGTGTGTGTGTGTGTGTGTGTGTGTGTGTGTGTGTGTGTGTGTGTGTGTGTGTGTGTGTGTGTGCATGAATGTACAGTGTTCATTTTAACATGTAACATGTAAGAACCACAATGAAGGAAATGGGCTCAACCATTTGGCACGGGAGGGGTGAGGAGGAGGTCATACTATTGTTACATAATGTCACAGTGTCACTACCGGTTGCAAATTTGGTATATGAATGAGATGTGAAATGTGAAAATAAAATGTCTTCATAATAAAAATAATTCATTTACAAATAAAACAAACAAACATAAAGAAATATGTAAAAGAATAATTCAATTTAGATAAAACTGAATATGTTGGATGAAAATAATATTATGCTTTTCATTTTCTAATTTCCCCCAGGGGCCTGGAGACATAATCCACACCATTAAAGAAGCTTTTTAAGAAATTGTACAAAAGCTAAATTAAATGAAATCAAGTTATATCAACACATTTATGATCAAATAATTCTGAATTCAATTTGATTATTAATAGTGATCTCATCTGGCTCATGCTGGGTCAGCACTCACATGTTTCTGTCCTACCCAAGTGAAAGGTTATGCCCTCCTTATCTAAGCCATTAATGCTCTCATTATTCCCATCTGTTCCTAATGTGAGTGGCCATGTGCCCTCAGATTTTTTCCCTCCCAAAGTAGTCAATAAACATGATGAAAACAATTGTGGATAAAGGGCCCATGGTTCTGGTGACCAGACACTTGGGAACTGTGAGTTTGACAATTGTTTTTACATCACATTGTGTTTAATGAATTTTGTAGAAGCAGCACCACTGCCAAATATGGCTATATGGCCCGTAATTCTTAGTGATGCTCATGGTGACCAGAAACTAAAGTACCAGAAACTAGTGCTTAATATATTTCAAATGCTGCAGCTGTGTTGTCATGTTGAGATGACAAAATTCAAGCCCATCCTCACCTGAAAAACGGCTAATCAATTGTGCAGCGGTTTATTACAGCCCATATTTACATTTATTGTTAGGCCACGACCTTTAGTGGCTGCTTGATGCCAGCAAAGGAGGAAGTCAGGTGACGTAGTATAAAGAGTGACAAAGTCTGGGTAGGGAGGTGGTTCAGATGGATGGATCAAGTTAACTCATGACTTTCAGACAGGAGCCCGTTGAACCCGAGGTTTGAGTCCACAAGGCAGAAAGTCAAAGTTGAGTTATATAGTAGTAGTTAAGTTAAATAAAATTTCGTAGATGACTGACGTTACATGAGTTAAGTCACATGACTTATTTTACTTACGTAATGTACTTGTTTTAACTCAAAGTCGCAATCTTTTCCTAAACCTAACCAAACTAGGACCATTTCACAAAGTTAACCCCGTGTTTAAGGTCACATGACATTCGTAACATACTTAAGGTTTGATACACCTGTTAGTGGATTAGAACTTTCCAACGCTCGCACATGTCGTTGTGGGGAACAGTTGCATATGTCGTTTTGGGACAATTGACAATTGACCTATTTTGTTATAAGTGGATGGTAGTTTGTTTACATCAGCACTGTTTGTAAACAATGGAATAACTCTCATCATTTGAGAAATGCAAAAAAGGCAGACTTTTTCATCTTGAAGTCAAACTGTTTAATCATATAGATGAATATATGTGCAATTTATATGGTCAACAAAAATACAGATCAGGCTTCTTTAAGAAAACTTTTGTAAATCTATGCTGAGACATACACACACCTATTCAGAGCTTAATTAGTATATGTATGCATATGAAGTGATAAGTTTGAGATTTAGCCACTGTTTTCTGACCTGACCCATGTTTCTGTTATTCTGTTTTTATATTTATCATGTTGGGTCTCAGTTACTGTATGTAACAAATCCATCAGATAATTACAACAAAGTAGGTCATGGACAGTTCACCAACTATCTGCCCTGACACAGATTCAGCTTTTTTGAGATAGGTGGATTATAGGCAAGACAGCTATTTAAAATATGGATCTACACATCTCCCAGAGCATCAGTTAGTTCAATACTCTACAGTGGCCTCCTGAAGAACATTGTGCACAGCAGGTGTGCTGGTTACACACCATGCTACAATATTTTATGTTTCATAACTGAATTTAAAGAGAAAAAAATATAAAGTATTATTTTAGATTACAAGATGGCATCTGTGTCCTGTGCCCAGAAACAATAACCAATAACTTAATTTGTCATCAAATGGCTGTCCTGCAACAGAGTCACAATATAGGGGCATCATATAAATCAAAAGAAAAAATGGGTGAATTTGAGAAATGATAAAACTGTAAAGTCACAATAAATCATAAATTATTTCATGAGTGTCTAAATGTACTTGTGTTACCAATGCAGATTTTGTTGAGGGGTATGAAATTTTTCTGTTTGAATAACGGGACTCTGAAAAAGTCTGAAACTCTGTATTCAAGAGTGAATGTTGTCAGGCAGATTTGTAGTGCTGCGATCAACTCCAATCAGCAGCCACAAGATTGAAAGTCCCAGAATTAATTTAGGAATAGGCCAACAAAAAGGACAAAACATTAGATCTCGCTTCTGTTAAACATTTTCATTGTTGTCATTCATTCATTGTCTTCCTTACCTTAATGACGTTTGCAATTGATGGTTTGAGGTTTTTATTCTGTGGCTTTCTGTTTGAGATCATACTGAACGGGTAACTCTACACGCTCCGATAAGGGCCCTGGAACTGGGTCAGTCAGAAACATGAACCCCTTTTGTTTTATAGGGGCCATGCCTCATCTTATGCCCCGAGGTCAACAGGTTACACTGCAACACCAACAAGTCATTTTTCAGTTTGCATCCTTTATTGACAATTTTAATTTATTTGGTTTGATTATTGCAACACCTAAAAGAAACCCACAATTAAAATTTTATATCTACACCTGTGTGTGTGCGTGTGTGTGTGTTTGACATGTACCTGTAAATCTTTCAGAAACACACATTAACTACCAGCATATTTCAGCCTTACACCTGACTTACCCAGTCGAGTTGGCAAATGTCACTTTAAACCTATTTAATTTAATCGCAATGAAATCAAAACAGTAGCACATGGCGCTTCATTTATACCTTCTGCAGAGCAAACTGTCCATCCTTAATAAGACTATGAAAAAGACACTTTTCCGTCCTACTTCATAACAAGTTACAAAACGTGGGAGGAGAGTAGTCTGAATTGGGTTCTGGAGCTGTGCCCCACCTCATCCATCGTGCTCATTTGCCAGCCGCGAGCGATTCCAAGTCAGTGAGCATCACATCCACTGGTGACGCCGGGAAGCTACGTCACCAAGTTTCTCCTGTGAGAACCACTCACAGACCCATTTTTCTGTTCACTCGCTCACCTGAATCAGGTGATACCCTGCAAGGGTAACTACTGGCTCCTGTCTCAGACCTTCCCCGAGGTGATTGGTGGAGTGACTAGCACTCAGCATGTGACCTCTACAATGAGCTTCCACCCACGAAAGGAAATATGGCTGACAGGATGTATTAATACACCCTCGTCTTTGCACGGAACCTTTGTTACGGTGCGAACAAAAACCCCAAAAATATTATCTTGACATTGTTGCTGTCCGCGACAAAACAAAAAAACAAAAACTTGCAGTGACATTGCCCAATTTCCCGTTTTTCCCTTGTTGTGTTGTAGGTATTTGTATGTGAACAGTGATGTGGACACCTGTGGCATGCTGGGAAACAGAGCCGTTTTCAATGGTCTAACCTTAACTACGAGCGGTTTTGCAATAAACTTGCTCTTAATATCGTTACAAAAATAAAACCCCTCTAAATGTGGTGACTTTATACAAAGAAGATACTTTATTTTAACTATGATAACGCAATTAATTAGTTGCACATAATTTATTCAGAAAACTGCAGATGGATCTAGTGGTATTTCTATTGGCTATGGACCCACCATATGTTTGCTGTACAAAATGTTTCCTGGATAATGAGCAGCCTAAATAAATGGTACAATTCTGACAGCATTTAGGCTATAAGATAACAAGGCTGACGTTTAAATAAAATAAAACTTTTCAACACTTGCTTTCACAACTCCTACCTCCAGAATCAAGGCATTTTGTAGTATTTTCTTTGGTTTTGTTAAATTGGTTCAGTCTCTCTCTCCCATTTTTAAAGTGGGAGACAGGTATATCCATTAGTCCTGACCAAAATTTTTGGACTATGAATATATTGAATATGTTGAAATACTTTTAGAATGACTAAAAATCCCAATCTACAACTCATACAGTATAAAACTCTCCATAGAACACACTATACAGGACAAAGGAAGTTCAGAATGGGTCTTAGGCATTCAAACATCTGCCTTAACTGCAAAGGTAACATATCTGATAGTTACATGCATGCTATGTGGCAATGTGCACCTGTCCAAAAGCTCTGGCAGAAGATATGTGAAGATCTATCAATATGGCTAAGGTACCCCGTCCCAGTTTCCCCATCACTCTGCGTGCTGGGGGACCTAAGTGACATTAGTATAGAGGCATACATACATACATATTAGTATAGTATAGAGTCATGATTCTCACTGACATATGATAGATAGATAGATAGATAGATAGATAGATAGATACTTTATTGATCCCCGAGGGGAAATTGCGGTGTTGCAGCAGCGAATTGACACAGGATACAAATAATTTATAGACCTATTTACACAAACTAACATATAATGTACAAAATTTCCTTTAAAAATATATTTACAATAAAA